TTCCCAAATCTTTTTGAATAGAAGGTGAAGCATGTTTGTAGTTGCTTCGATGTCTGACTTTAGTGCTTCAGCTGGTATGTTGTCCGGACCCGCTGCTTTCCCGTTCTTGATTTGTCTGACGGCCATTCTGATTTCTTCCTTCGTTGGTGGGTTGACGTCTATGGGAAGATCTGTGTGTGCCGCTTCGATGTCCGGTGGATTCATTGGAGCCGGCCTATTCAGGAGTTCCTCGAAGTATTCTACCCATCTGTTCCGCTGTTGTTGAATTTCGGTGATTGGCTTGCCTTCTTTGTCTTTGACCGGTCTCTCTGATTTACTGTATTTCCCTGATAGTTTCTTCGTTGTATCGTGAAGCTGTTTCATATTTCCTTCCCTAGCAGCTTTTTCTGCCGTCGTTGCTAGTTCTTCCACGTATTTCTTCTTGTCGGCTCTAATGTCTCCTATGACCGATTTGTTGAATGTACATAGATTTGCAAATCTTTCTCCATTTTCGTTTCTTTCTCCCAGTCCATGTCGTCCCATAATATCTTCATATCCAGTGTTGTCTATTCCGACTTTGGCATTCAAATCTCCCATCAGATTTTACCATTCGCATCAATCATTTTGATAAGATACTCTCATTTCAGCTTATTCTGTGTAACGTCTATCCTGATCAACTTAACGCCTTTGAGTCAAACTCTTCTCATTTATTGAGGATTTTTGCATCTGATCTAAACTAAAATCTTTTATCTCATATTGAACAAAAACTAGTGTCATAATTATTAAAGTTGCTTTTGTTTGAGTTAAAACGATGACACATCTAGTTATGAGAAAGCACTTGATTTGTCGTGTACATAGACATTATCACTGTTCATCGCTTTCCAACTTGCTATTCTTTTACTTGTGGCTAAGATCATGAATCAAACACCAAAGGATCAACCAAAATAAAACCTTAGTTTTCAGCCTTAGAAAACCAACATTGTAGTCAGTTGGAATAGTTCAGTGGTTGTATACTTGCTCAGTGCCATTTGCTGCTCGACCATTTTGTTCCCAATATTGATTGAACAAATGCCCACATGCTTGAGCTAACTTCAAAAGTTACAACTAACTCAACACTGTTTCGGATTGGAAGTAACATTAAGTTTGAATCACGTAACACAAATTCTTCTTTTTCCACGAACATAGGTGATACTTTCAAAGGGTGATATTACACGGAACGATTATGGTACATTGTAGTATAACGTGCTTCATTTCGATAAGAGCTACTTCATCAATGCAGATACCTTGAGAAAAGGTTATATGTGTATTCTTGTATCTTGATTGTCGATCTGGAAGACAATAGTGTTTTTTGAACTCAATATTTTTAAAATTCTTTTCAAGCACATCGTGGAGTCTTCTCGTCATTCCTTTGAATGATTCGGCGTGTCTCGGAGGTCAGTAAAAAGTTAGGAGATGTCACTTGTCTAAATTTCATCATCATTATTTATTATTTGAAGACTTACAGAGTTTAAAAACAGAACTACGAGTGTTGAATGTGTTTTGGTTTGCGTTTGAGCACCTGACACACTTTTAAGGAACAAGAATACTGTTGATCAGAAAGTATGCTGTTTCAGAATCGTTCGAGCTTTCTTACTTTGTGGGGATTTATAAATTGGTTGTACAATGGAAGAACCTTCACATTAATGACGTAGTCCAATTAATCAATGTTTGCGACTTTCGAAATCTGCTGAGTGCAAACAGCTATGCTCTGCTAGGATCTTGATTCATAAAATACTTTTAAAAAGAATATAAGATTGTGCTTAAAAAGTACTGATCCACATCAATCTTTTCTATATATGCACTGATGGTCAATGAAGACTCTAAGAAAGGATGATGACTTCTCGTCGGCACTTCTCCTAAAAGCTATGATATAATTTGAAGCAAAATTACACGATTCGACTTCATGAGCGGAAAATTCCGTATTGTTCTAAACTGGCATTTTGATATTTATTTTTTCTAAGTCATCGACGATTTCATCAAAAATAATAGTGTTAGGCACAAAAGTATGTTGTAGCTTGGAAAAGTGCATTCAGCATCCCTTTATTCAGTGTTCGCTCCATGTATCGAAATTAGCATCACTTGTGGAGCAGTAACAGGTGATTGTGCAAGCAGATGTTTTAAAACTTCTCTGACTGTGTTATAACTATTTGAATGGTCCATCGTAATACACACTGTAAAGAGAACACAAGCTCGCAAATACTCTACCACTGAGCCGGCACACAATCGAGTTAGTTTCCAACTTTATGAATTCCATATATCCATGTTTACCTGATGAGCTTTCGAGCTGAAGAGAGATAAATATCATTAGATTGCTAAGTTTACTAAGTGTCACCTTTTTATTTATTTATTTGAGCACATAAATATTGGTACAAGAGAGCGCCAATATATATGCGCCACACAAAACAATGAAAATTCGAAGAGAGAAAAGAAAAAAAACTGAAGAGCACAAAAGAAAAAGAGAACGATAACAAAGAGATTGGTGAAAGGTAGTGCGGTCGTAACGATGGAACGGAAAGGTACAATCAGAAGAAATCTTTCAAGTAAGGGAGACACAACCACTTTTTATGAAGAAAGTAAAAGAAGGTTACAGCAGGATCGCCACTGGCTTCTATTCTGAGCCATATCTGATAACGTCTCTAGCCACTGTGTAGCACCATCTCTCAGACCCCAACCAGGGAGTCGTGAAGGACCGACAGAAGCCAGTCCTTTGCAGCTTTCTTTCATACCACGACACCATGTCATGCACTGACCACCTCTCCGCTTTTTCCAACCAGTCCCAGAGTCGGCAAACAATGCACGACGTGGAATTCTCTGGGACGACATTCGTAGAACATGTCCAAGCCACCGAAGTCGGTGTTTCAAGATGGTGACACCAATTGAATTATCATCTCTGTGCCCAAACACACGATGCCGAACCTCTGCATTACTAACATGGTGTTGCCACTGAATGTCAGCAATCCTTCGGAGACAGCGATGATCGAACACAGAGAGTCGTCTAACGTCCTCAACTCGGAGAGGCCAGGTTTCACAAGCATAGAGCAAAACTGCTCTCACCGACGCGTTGTAGATCCGACCTTTTACAGCCAGACTAACATCACGAAGGCGCCAAAGGTGGCCCAGATTGGCATAAGCCGCTCTGGCTTTCACTATACGTGCATTGATCTCATCACTCACACCCCCACCAGCACTTATGCAGCTACGCAGATACACGAACTTCTCGACTACGTCTATCTGCTCACCATCCAGGGTGAGTACAGGATTGGAATCCTGCCAGTCTTGTAGAAGTACTTTGCACTTCGAAGGTGCAAAGCACATACCATACCTACGGACACTGATTGCCAACTGATTAAGTGCGGATTGCATGCCTTGGGCATTATCGCACAGTAAGACAATATCATCCGCATACTCAAGGTCGAGAAGTCTTTCTCCAGGCAACAGATCCACACCACCATTACTTACATCCATCAGAGTTGCTTCCAGAATGTCATCGATGGCAAAGTTGAAGAGGAATGGTGAGATTGGGCAACCCTGCCTAACCCCACTACTCGTATAGAGCAATGGAGAGAGGTGGCTGTATGCCCTCACTCTACCTGAGGTGTTTTTATATAGGGCTTTTAGGATGTTAATAAACTTCTCAGGCACACCCTTCTTCAATAGACAATCCCAGAGAACAGTCCTGTCCAACGAATCGAAGGCAGCCCTGATGTCAAGAAACACTACGATTGTTGGCCTTTGATAAGTATGGCGATGTTCTAACATTTGGCGGAGGGTGAAGATATGATCAATACAACCTCGACCAGAACGAAACCCAGCCTGCTCCTCGCGAGTCAATCTTTCTCGGGTTTTGAACAACCTACGAAGTATGATGGAAGCCAATAGCTTGGACGCAATCGGAAGTAGACTTATCCCCCGATAGTTGTTGCAGGAACGACGTGAACCCTTTTTAAAGATAGGGACAACTATCGACTCATTCCATGACGTTGGTACACTCTCTAATTCCCAAACCTTTGTAAACAACGTCGTCAATTCCTTAGTCAAAAAGTCACCACCATCTTTAAAAAGAGCCGGAGGTAAGTCATCTGGGCCCGGTGATTTGTAACGCTTCAAGAGTTGGAGTTCCTTGCGGACTTCCTCCTCGTTCGGTGGATCAGTCGTCACCGGCCATGGAGGGCAGGACAGTCTGACCGATGTTGCCGGAGCAGCAGGCCAGTTGAACTGCACTTCGAAAAATTCTACCCATCGTCCAAGACGTCGATGGATGTTAGTGATTGGCATCCCATCATCCTCGCAGATTGTTTCACTCACACCAGACTTCTTGCTGCCAGTTGCTCGGATGAGCTGGAAGAGCTTCCGGTAGTTACCAGATGCAGCTGCTGCTTCCATCTCATTAGCACGCTCCGACCACCAGGCTTCTCGGTCCTTACGCAAGCTTTGCCCAATGTTCTACGAATGTCGTCCCAGAGAATTCCACGTCGTGCATTGTTTGCCGACTCTGGGACTGGTTGGAAAAAGCGGAGAGGTGGTCAGTGCATGACATGGTGTCGTGGTATGAAAGAAAGCTGCAAAGGACTGGCTTGTGTTGGTCCTTCACGACTCCCTGGTTGGGGTCTGAGAGATGGTGCTACACAGTGGCTAGAGACGTTATCAGATATGGCTCAGAATAGAAGCCAGTGGCGATCCTGCTGTAACCTTCTTTTACTTTCTTCATAATAGTGGTTGTGTCTTCCTTACTTGAAAGATTTCTTCTGATTGTACCTTTCTGTTCCATCGTTACAACCACACTACCTTTTGTGGTCCTTAGTTTTTTTTTTTTCTATCTCTCTTCGAATTTTCATTGTTTTGTGTGGCGCATATATATTGGCGCTCTCTTGTACCAATATTTATGTGTTCAAATAAATAAACAGTAATTATTTATATCATTTATCGCAAACAAATATTCATCGTTTCCTTTTCAAACGTAATGTAGATAAAAAGACTCAGTACTTTAATTACCATATATTATGTATTGTGTTAGAATTAGAAAATGTTATTCAAGAATACTGTTAAGTTCACCACAGATTAAATCGGATTAGTATATTTCAGTGTACAATACTGTTATTCTTATCTGATGATGATAGTAGTGTTGATGAGGTTAGAAAACGGGTGATCTGAAAGAAAAGTATATGAAAGAATTTGATCATTCTTGGTAATATTTCAGACACTAGATAATTCTCATGAAAGCATTCATTCTCACATCTTTGAATATTATGATGCTTTTGGATTAAGATAATAATCGAGCATGCAATGTATAACAAAAACGAGGGTGGGAATTTTATGAATATTCTAGACGAAACATGCGATGACGATTAATTCAGCTTTGATTTGTCAATTCTATTTAATCGATAGAAGACAATCACATCCTATCACAAATTGAACAACACTACAATAAGTATTCTGTTTCACTATAATAATTTTAATATAATTGTACACATATTGACGGAAGCTATATGCAACTATTCTGGAACAATTATTGATTTGCAAGGGTATCATTGATGTTGCCAACCGGATATTGATCATATACAAATTGAATACACTTTCAAAAATGTTTACAAAACATTTTGATCAAACCATATTCATCTAACAACTAGCGACAAAACAACGTTAATCCACAATCTGTGAGTAGATATTGATAGCATTTTGTGAACGATAACTACCATGCTAAATGGTCATGATTAAATGGATTGTGTATTTACAATCAGTTTTCAACGAAACTTGAAAAGAGATATATATTAAGATATAATTATAACACAACGATTCAATACTCACTTGTCACTCGTCATCTGTGAATTTGTAAATCAAATGAACAGTGAAAATCATAAAATGTAACAACAATCGTAACAATTTTGTTAATACACACACTCCCTCTTTCTGTATTGTTGTTTGATGAGGCCACCTAAACCGATAAACATTTGCACTAGTCTATCGACAGTTGAATTCCTGATTCCGATAATCAACAAATTGATACACGTTTCCTAAATACAGGCCATGATTTTAGGGAAATGAACAACGATCGCCACATATTCCAATTACGTCAACAACAGACGTCTAAATGACAGGAAGACATAGAGAAACAAACCGACAGAGTAAGTTCAATAGAAAAATGAAAGCGTTGAATCTGATGACTCAAATATTATTCTGTTGTCAATTTTTTTGCATCTCTACTAATGCGTATATGACTTTGTCTTTTTAATATTTTTTTTCGTTTTTTTTAATTTATGATTTCATCTTTATGTTGATGCTTATCTATACTTATTTCCTTATTTCTTTAATGTTTTTTTTTAAAATTCGTGTTTTTCTAATATTCTCACCGTATTCTTTCGATTGCAATAATTCGTCAATAGACCAGTATATTCTTCTGTATATGTTATATTCCAAACAGCAATATCCTTTCTTCATTAGTTCTCGGTATTTCATACTTATTCTTATATTTCCTCCAGGCATCTCGAAGACACAGTTCTCCATTGATTCTCCAAACCCGAGGTATCTGCTCGACATAATGTTCTTCAGCTACAATTAAAATATTTAGACAGTGTATTACTGCATAGTACTTTTTAATGCCACAATGTCCTTTTGTAAACAATTAAATATTCCGTAATCGTCGGTATGTATCATATAGTAACTTTGTGAGAAATTACTCCTATTTTTCTATGAAACTGCTTCCAAATAAATACTGATAAACTTAGATAACAAATGCTACGGATGCCACATAACACTGATGTTTGACGTTTAGGTCCACAGAACATCAAGAAAACAACATGCATCAATAAATGTCATCAAAGCGAGTATCGATGGGCTATTCGTTAAAATTTTGGAATTAACGGTACGAAGATATAAATATCATGCGATAAACTTAAATTTATAATCTCTTCAAACTAACACGTAACTGCTACTTGATCGATCAACACAAAACGTAATACGCTCAAGAAAACTTACATCAGCGCACCTATCAGCAACTACGTGCGTTCCATAATTGCTTTCGAACAGATAGGTTTCTAAAATGTACAACATTCATTAGACATAGTTTGTGGAACAAATATTCACTAATAAATAAAATATTTCATCAATCGGTTTGCTAATCAAATCACTCTATTCAGTGGGTATTGTAAGCCATACTACACATAAGCATTTGTGTTGACCGACGAATCAGTGATAGAAACATTATGATTTTTCAGACATCATATACATTCACAGCTGATTTCATCCTCGATTCAAACTAATACAACCTTCGTTTTGACATGTCAGTCAGTAAGAACGTAGAACTTCGTACGTACGTACATCAGTTCGAGTTGCCACACCACCTTAACACAGATGCAGTTGTCGATCCAAATCCCGTAGTGGGAGAGATAGCAAGAGTGTAAGCAGTGATCGGGAAGATTAGGGTTTGAAGATGTTATTTAAAGAGTATAATTCAGTGCAATAAATTTGGAAAGAGGAAAGAAAAGGGACATGAAGAATTCAGAAGATTAGAATTTGGGAGAACACAAAGAGTGGATGCACCTGCGCCATTGCAAACGATTTTGAGCCATGTCATTCAGGGTCTCTAACCATCGGTTGCTATCATCTCGCGGTCCCCAACCAGGTAGTCTACACCTACCAACATGACTCAGACCACTTGTCAATGACTTCATGGACTTGTGCCATGTTTTGGTCTGACCGCCCCTAGCTTTCTTCCAACCTACTCCATACCACTGAACATCGCACGTCGAGGCAGTCGGTCGTTGGGCATACGTAACACGTGTCCCAGCTATCTCAACTGATGAAGTTTCACTACTTCATCAATTGATTTGCCATCCTTACCTAGTACCCGTTTCCTAACAGCTGCGTTACTTACTCGGTGGTCCCAGGATATACGAGCAATACTTCGAAGACACCTATGATCGAATACTAGTAACCTACGAATATCCTCTACTCTTACCGGCCATGTTTCACTGCCATAAAGTAGGATGGGACGAACTGCAGCGCAGTAAACACGTCCTTTGGTTGATAGACGGATATCTCACCTACGCCATAAATGACGCAAGTTGGCAAAAGCTAGTCGAGCCTTCTGTATCCGTGCTGAGATTTCGTCACATACCGGACCACAAGGGCTGATGAGACTTCCAAGATAAGTGAAGCGGTCGACACACTCAACTACTTCACTCCCTATCACTAGTTCGGGTGTCGATGTTGGTGAAACCAATTCAGGAAATGTTGTCATAATTTGTCAACAAGAGTATTGATCTGGAGATATGAGATGAATGGATCAAGATCAACTTGTCGAAAATCAAGTGAGCTTGTCTAGTGAAAACATCGCTGAAATGCAGAAGAGAGGCAATCAGCGTAGCAGTCGAATGATATTTCTAATCAATCACTTGATTCCTCGGTGTGAATTTAATGCCAGAGTGTTTGTGTGTTGAATGCCTTTACAAGCATGTAAATATCAGGAGCTTTTGACTGATCAAATTATGGAGGTCGATTCACAAGGCCTTCACGAGTCGATCGTTCCCCGACCCATCCAGTAAACTATATAATTTCACTACAGTTGCATCATCGATATTACGATCAGTTTGTTAACATCATTCAGTTCACACAACATTCAAAAACAAAGCAATGAACACATTTCATCCAGTCACTTTTACACACCTCAGTTGAGATCATAAAATGATAACAGGAGATTCAAATTTCAAAACAACTGCCTCATTTATGGGACAACTTACCATCGCTAAAGGTTTTCAGATCTACAAGTCAAAATAAATATTATTTTGCGGTTGATGATAACAGACTGCTCCTTTCATTCATTTCACAAACCATGTTTACATACCACTACACATCTGTCACTTCTGAAAGTCACACAATACGTTGACAGACTGATGTTATCAATATTTTACAGTATCACTGACGTCAACAAATTTTACAATACACACAAATGACAAAATTTATCGTGAACTTACCACTCACTGAAACGATTTCTGAAATGAAGTACAATATATTTACTTAGTGCTGAAAACTACAAGCGATGTCAATTCAACTAAACACATTATATATTGAACAAGTGTGGATATCAACAAGAAAACTGACATGCATTGGTGATTCACTCACTAGTTATCCATTTGCTATTCACATTCACAGTACCCGATTCAAGTGCATTCTTTAACGATGAAAACCACGTGTTTGATGAATATACTTTTTCCATTTCACTCGTTAACACGGCAAGTTGAACATCGATGGTTTTGGCATCATTATTCTTTGGCTTTTGTGATTGATGGATATCACATGACAGAGTAACGGAACTCAGTTTTGGATCCAATTCCTTCACCACATTCACAACCTTTAAGAAATCACATGAATCTGTCAAATTATTTTGTTGAAGTATTTATGAAAGTGATCATTCTAACTCAAAACGTAAATTTTATGGGTGTTCATATAATTATTCATATTTGGATATTTATGTCTAGTCACAAAAATGTTTATCCGGAGTGACAATAACCTAACGCTGAATCATAGTGATATTCAACATTTACCCTTCGGTAATAAAGTTGCATTTTTACGTATAGTTATTATTTAACATTAATTGTTGCGCGTTTACAAGATCAATGTTCAGGTTCATTCAAAGATTCATGTGGCCAATATATGGAGATCGATTGAAGTAAAATAAACCCGAATAATGTTATTTTTCACGTCGCTTCATGTAAAAAACCCCAAGTGATAACTTTTAGACTTACATTTGCACAGTATCTATCCAAAACGTCTAGGGAGTCCCTTACATCATTCTTTGTAATCAGTTCATCCCACTCCTTAACGGAGACGGAGAGTTTAGCCACAACGATATCTAAAACAAACCGGAATCCAAACATGTTAGATGAAAGCATAATATGAACACGAAAATCATTGAAAACGTCAGTATGGCTGTCATGGATGAAAATGTACATCATTCACAATAATCCGTCAGTATCACTGTGAAATTTGTATTGTTTATATGCTGATCAGGATACACTAAAAGTTTCAACGACCATTTATTCAAGTCTCATCATGCTCATAATGGATAGATTGATTTTTTATGAAATATTTTGAACGCGCTTAAACTGGGCGGTCCAATATTCGAAGTCCTTAAATAAATGAGCTAAAACAAGAATCAGCAATGCGTGAAGCTAAACAAAACCGGGATGTACACTTCAATTCTCATTCAAACAGAACCCATAAAAATCATCACTCATGACTATGTGCGTTGTAGTTCGAGTGTAAGAGTAAAACATGTGATGCTACTGAACATCTATTCAAATTGTACTGCATGATTTATTCGATATACATAGAAATAGACCTGATTCCATTAACATTTTATACGACACGTGATGGAAGTGCAATTCATCAGATGAGATTACTGTTAAACTAACTTACCTGCATTTGTAAACTCAAGAAACTGCGCTGTCAACAACAAAAGCAAAACAATGGAAATTATGGAGACGAGACATTCACCTGAATTAAGAAACGCTTAATTAGTTTACTGGCAAGTAGACACAACAAGTGATTGATCACTGAGTAATGACTAGCGTTACGTTCACATAATTTTACTAAGGGCTTCGGACATTGAGTGAGACAACCTCTACACAGTATTCACTAAACAAAGAATTCGCGTATAGACAGGAGTTCAGCTGTTGAAGAATAGCTCATTGTTGACATCACAGATTACAGAGCTATTTTATATGGGGTGCAATCCAATGTAATGCAACACTTCCTTCAAACTTTCAGACAGATTTCGTTGACGAGTGGCTATCAATATGAACAACGGTTCTAGGGTTTCCTGAGAATGAGCTTTAACCACCGAATAAGTTAGACACATGTTTATCAAGAATTATTCGGAATAATATGAGCTGTATGGTTTTGCATAACGTCGTGGGATAAATTTGTTGAAGTCACTGATTTTCGTCTTTCGTCCCAAAGCAATATCATCACACGCATATTCACATCAATAGACAGTTACTTCATCAATCAGTCGAACACGTCTACTGTGATCCTATTAACCTACTGTGCTTTGAACTCATGTATATTGAACTCAAAGTTTAAATGTTTGTGAGAATCTACAGAGTTTCTAATGTCCTTCTGTGAAAACCTATGATGAATAGGCCAACATCAAATGCTATTCCATGTGATGTGCGATCCAATGTGCTTTGATTGAGTGTCACTAATATTTTTTCCTGTTGACAACTTCATCTCCAACGAGACTGATGTGGAAGTTCATCCGTTAACTCGTCATAAATGTTTTTACAGACGCAAGAAGTACACATAGTTTACTTACATTACACTGTAAACCATGGAGCGACAACAGTGTAGACTGACTGTGGTATGGGGTATGAAACACTGGGTGGCGACACAGTCTAGTGAAGTGTTCACGAGTACAATTTGTGTGTGAACAGTTGTTGTTTATTGCTCTGAGGTCCTATACTACAACGAATCACTAGTTCGCTGTTCTCTGGTCAACACTGACAGCCCAGCTAAGATCAGTTCGTGATTCGAACTAAAAATTGGAACAATTTCACAGGAAATTTAGTCGTTCATTATTCATAGTTCTCGTTTTCGAATAACCAGCCGATTTTCACCATCTCAGTTGCATAAAAATATTTGATCGAATGACGAGACTTCAATTCCCCTACTACTGTTCTGTTTCGTAAGTCATGTTCAGGCATGAATTTTTATTGTTTTGTAAGTAAGACTATTCAGAAGAATGTTCATTCAAACGAATGAGGCGTCAATTGGATTTTTATTAGACTTTCTATTTGACAGAGTAGAGCTGAACAAATCATCAAATTTATTTATTGACACTCATTCACTTCGTAGTCTTTCCTTCCTCATAAATGGGAGTTTATAACCTGTTCAATCTTCAATTTTTTTAGTCTAATATTGTTTGATCGGAGTTTCATGTTTTCGTTGTATGTATACAGATCTGAATAAACAATGATCGTTGTCAGAAAACGTGCACTCTTAGCGCCTGACTTCATGTTATCTCCACTTCAAAATTTCATCAAATTTCTAGATTTAAAACACGCCATTACTTCTATCAACGGCAAATATGAAGTAAAGTCAACCTTTCCACTACGCGTTCAATCAGGATATTCTTTCACTGTTTACATCAACCAAAGTAGATTGACTTAAAAGTTCAGTCGTTCAAATTGATATTAAGTAAAAACAGTGTTGAATGAATACATTTTTATGGTTCTTCAGTAAAGATAACAAACCGGGAAGTATTACAAATGATGCTGCGGTCACATTGTATCACGTAAACTAAGGAATTGTCATGCAGTTTGCTAAAGGAATATTGCTTTCCAATACCGTCGTGTTAGCATATTTCAAAATGCTCGCAGTACATGAACAACGCCTTCAACAAGGCTTTCTTGAGGCCTGTAGACTATCAAAGTATCAGAATTCTTAGACTACCCGTAAGTTTATCGCAATTAATCACAAAGAAGAAGAACGTAATACGATGATATGCACAATAATATTCATAGGATAGTTTTATTGTGATCTCTCAACCTAAATGACAGGAAGACATAGAGAAACAAACCGACAGAGTAAGTTCAATAGAAAAATAAAAGAGTTGAAACCGATCACTGAAATCTCATTCACTGATCGGACGATAGTAAAAATTCACATGTCTCGAGACCCTCAAATTACAAATGACAGAGAAGAAGAGAGATACACAGACAGACAGAACGAGAGAGAGAGGGAGAGAGCGAGTGAGAAAGGAGTCTACAGTCGAGCAAACATACCGAGAGAACTTCCTTCCTCCTCAGTCACCATTCCACTTTGAGTTGCTTCGCTCTTCATTGTCATCTCTTCACCTAAATGACAAGAAGACATAGAGAAACAAACCGACAGAGTAAGTTCAATAGAAAAATAAAAGAGTTGAAACTGATCACTGAAATCTCATTCACTGATCGGACGATAGTAAAAATTCACATGTCTCGAGACCCTCAAATTACAAATGACAGAGAAGAAGAGAGATACACAGACAGACAGAACGAGAGAGAGAGGGAGAGAGCGAGTGAGAAAGGAGTCTACAGTCGAGCAAACATACCGAGAGAACTTCCTTCCTCCTCAGTCACCATTCCACTTTGAGTTGCTTCGCTCTTCATTTTCGTCTCACCACCTAAATGACAGGAAGACATAGAGAAACAAACCGACAGAGTAAGTTCAATAGAAAAATAAAAGAGTTGAAACTGATCATTGAAATCTCATTCACTGATCGGACGATAGTAAAAATTCACATGTCTCGAGACCCTCAAATTACAAATGACAGAGAAGAAGAGAGATACACAGACAGACAGAACGAGAGAGAGAGGGAGAGAGCGAGTGAGAAAGGAGTCTACAGTTGAGCAAACATACCGAGAGAACTTCCTTCCTCCTCAGTCACCATTCCACTTTGAGTTGCTTCGCTCTTCATTTTCGTCTCACCACCTAAATGACAGGAAGACATAGAGAAACAAACCGACAGAGTAAGTTCAATAGAAAAATAAAAGAGTTGAAACTGATCACTGAAATCTCATTCACTGATCGGACGATAGTAAAAATTCACATGTCTCGAGACCCTCAAATTACAAATGACAGAGAAGAAGAGAGATACACAGACAGACAGAACGAGAGAGAGAGGGAGAGAGCGAGTGAGAAAGGAGTCTACAGTCGAGCAAACATACCGAGAGAACTTCCTTCCTCCTCAGTCACCATTCCACTTTGAGTTGCTTCGCTCTTCATTTTCGTCTCACCACCTAAATGACAGGAAGACATAGAGAAACAAACCGACAGAGTAAGTTCAATAGAAAAATAAAAGAGTTGAAACTGATCACTGAAATCTCATTCACTGATCGGACGATAGTAAAAATTCACATGTCTCGAGACCCTCAAATTACAAATGACAGAGAAGAAGAGAGATACACAGACAGACAGAACGAGAGAGAGAGGGAGAGAGCGAGTGAGAAAGGAGTCTACAGTCGAGCAAACATACCGAGAGAACTTCCTTCCTCCTCAGTCACCATTCCACTTTGAGTTGCTTCGCTCTTCATTTTCGTCTCACCACCTAAATGACAGGAAGACATAGAGAAACAAACCGACAGAGTAAGTTCAATAGAAAAATAAAAGAGTTGAAACTGATCATTGAAATCTCATTCACTGATCGGACGATAGTAAAAATTCACATGTCTCGAGACCCTCAAATTACAAATGACAGAGAAGAAGAGAGATACACAGACAGACAGAACGAGAGAGAGAGGGAGAGAGCGAGTGAGAAAGGAGTCTACAGTCGAGCAAACATACCGAGAGAACTTCCTTCCTCCTCAGTCACCATTCCACTTTGAGTTGCTTCGCCCTTCATTGTCATCTCTTCACCTAAATGACAAGAAAACATAGAGAAACAAACCGACAGAGTAAGTTCAATAGAAAAATGAAAGCGTTGAATCTGATGACTCAAATATTATTCTGTTGTCAATTTTTTTGCATCTCTACTAATGCGTATATGACTTTGTCTTTTTAATATTTTTTTTCGTTTTTTTTTAATTTATGATTTCATCTTTATGTTGATGCTTATCTATACTTATTTCCTTATTTCTTTAATGTTTTTTTTTAAAATTCGTGTTTTTCTAATATTCTCACCGTATTCTTTCGATTGCAATAATTCGTCAATAGACCAGTATATTCTTCTGTATATGTTATATTCCAAACAGCAATATCCTTTCTTCATTAGTTCTCGGTATTTCATACTTATTCTTATATTTCCTCCAGGCATCTCGAAGACACAGTTCTCCATTGATTCTCCAAACCCGAGGTATCTGCTCGACATAATGTTCTTCAGCTACAATTAAAATATTTAGACAGTGTATTACTGCATAGTACTTTTTAATGCCACAATGTCCTTTTGTAAACAATTAAATATTTCGTAATCGTCGGTATGTATCATATAGTAACTTTGTGAGAAATTACTCCTATTTTTCTATGAAACTGCTTCCAAATAAATACTGATAAACTTAGATAACAAATGCTACGGATGCCACATAACACTGATGTTTGACGTTTAGGTCCACAGAACATCAAGAAAACAACATGCATCAATAAATGTCATCAAA